TTTTACACAACTAAGATGTTGTATAATGTTTCATCCTTCTGTTCACACTTTTTTTTGTTGGTTGAGTTTCTTGTACACTTCCTGTGGTATGTAAATAGCCATTTTTATTTTGTGTAACAAGTTTAGGCTAAAACGAACATGTTCCTGCACTCTAAGATTAGCACAATACCAGAAAGGAGTTTATAGTTGGACTTTATCATAAGCTGTACACAGAATTCATCCACCATATTTCTGTACAATCTACAACCCATGTTAAATGTCTTAAATTTAAAACAATCTTGGTACTATTCTGTTCACATAAAGTTATACAGAAAGTTGAAGTAAGCATTTATAGCTTTAATTTTTTTGTTTTTATATATATATAAATAATTGTGTAGTTTTTAAAATATGAGCTATGCATAACTTCCTTGTATCAGTCAGTAAAGTGTCTCCCTCTGGACTTGTTCTAGGCATGTTCTAGCCATGTTCTAGATGTGTAGCTGAGTATGACTGAGGGCCCTGTGAGGGGAAAACTCACCCACATCTTTCTTCTGTAAAGCTCTTTTCTTCCTGTCAGAGAGCCACTGTAAGAAAATATATAAAACAAATTTTGAGCTCACTATTCACGAAGGAAACAAAGAACCACTCGAAGTTTATCCAACTTGGAAGTATTAGACATTTAGGCCATTAATTCATTTTTTCTTGGTTAGTTTAAAATTTCCACTGGTAAGTTTAACCATTCCACACCACGAAAGTCGTGATTTTTAAAGGTCTCCAGAATAACACACCAACAGCCTGAGATGCACGCACTCAAACTGCGCCTTTAGTTTAAAAAAAAAAAAAAAAACACCACCACACTCGGAGCTGGCTGTAGTCAGCGCTCCCCCCCCTCAGCGCCAGCGCACATGGAGAAGGGGCAGCTCAGGGAGCCGCTCCGCCCCAAAGCTGTTACAGCCTCCCGCGGCGGGGGGGGGGGGGGAGGCCGGGACGGGCCGGGCCGGGGCGGCAGCGCGTCCCCTCGCCCCGCTCTCTCACCTCCGGGAGGCTCCTGCCGGCGCTCAGGCTGTAGATCTTCACCTCGTTGAGGCTGGAGACCTGCATGGCCGCGGCCCTGCCCGCCTCTTCCCGGGCGGAGGGGAAGCGGAAGGCGGCGGCCGGCTTCCGGCCCGCGGCGGCGCGAAATGGCGGCTGCGGCCCCCGCCGCCCCCAGGGAAGGAGGAAATCTGTGGGAAAGCGAGCCACGGCGGGCGGCCCTACGGGTGTGAATCACGAAAGCAGCAGTTGCTTTTGCAGGCTTGGTGGAGGAGGTTATTTTTCTCGCCCTACGGCAAACCGCGTCCGTTACGTAGGGAAAACAATGAGTCCAGGATTTGGTTGATCAGAACCTCGCCAGCAAACGGAAAAAAAACCCCGTTTTTATTGTTTTGTAGCATCACCGTTTATGAAAGAGCTGACGTGCGAAATTCTGACCATTCCCATTCTAACTTAAAAGAGCAGCAACAACGACTGAAATAATGTATATCCAATCTATACGCATCTTCAGGAAACAATGGAAATCGCAACTAAATTCTTGCCACAACGATAGATAACTCTGGTAGAAAATGCAAACTGAAACTGTGGCAGATTAATATGTTTTTTTCCTGGATGATGTCTCTCAACAGTGATGATACCAATATCGTGACTAGAAAGGACTCTATTCTGGTTTGTATTAGAGGGCACTAGAGCTGACGGGCATGGGAGATCAACACACCTAAATAAGTGCCCATGTAGCTCCCCTTTCAGAGACTTAAGGCTTTACTTGCTTAAATGTAGGTTGTCCAGCGGCATTTGAGATGCGGAATGGTATCCAGGACACCTAGATGGGGCTGACACAAGACCTGCAGCATGAGCTGGAGGCCAGGCAGGACGTGCAAGGACATCTCAAGTGGCACCAGGAGCTCCGGCAGCTGAATCTCATCCCTAGTAAATGCAGTTACCGAAGCCTGAGGAGCGATGTAGGGCAGTAGCCACTAGGTGTCTTCTTCAGGGCGAGCTCAATCACTCCTAGGATCCACTGTAATTACTTATATCACCACTAGCTATTAATAGACGTTTAAAGTTGAATTCACTTGCCCACACATAGAGGTCTTGTGCTATTCAGGGTGTCCCGAGGAATCCCAGACATCGCGTGGAGGTGCAGAAGACCAGTGTCGCCGTGGAACAGCAGCTGAAGGCCCAATAGGGTGCTCCAGGGCACCTCAAAAGGAACTATGCAGGGGTAGGAGGACTGAACCTGCAAACAATTCCTAGAGGTGTAAAGCACTGGAGAATCTTACAGACTGGAAAAGTATGGTTTTTAAGCAGAGTGAAAAAAACCCACATTACTAGAAAACTAAACAAGTAATGCACATAATAGATGTATTAACTTTTATAGAGAACTACAGCTGTGTTGTTGCCGTTTTCCAAGCTTAAAACATAAGCTTTCTCATTAGTATCAATGTCATAATTATCTAGGTAATTAATTTTGATTATATGTTAGAGAAATTTGCCTTGGGAGATACTTCAAGTAGGATATTTCAGGACCCTTAATTACTGTTTGCAGGCATAGTTTTGCTCCTTAGTGTGACATCAGAAGTACTCATAAACAGAGAGACAAAGTCACAGAAAGGTTCATTGCCTTGATGGATCAAATGGAACAGAAAGGCACATGATGATCATGAGGAAATTAGGCAGCTCTGAGATCACATGGCACTCCATGCAGGACCAGCCAGGGAAATGGCAGGGAAGACAAGAGCTGTCATAGCTGTGCTACCACCAGTGTGCAGCACACCTTCCATATCCCAGAGCATGTGATGCTGCATGCTCCTTCCCTCCTGCACCTTCACTGCTGCTTCTTCCAGCCTAAAAAAACATACAATGGGGGAAAAAAAAAATATTTTAAAAGTCACAGTAAAACCAGAAAATGCGATAATAGAAAACAAAATAGGATATTGCTTAGGCATTAACATCATGTTTCCTTGATAATTTTCTATTAATAAGTAGCATAATATTTTCCACTTTAATAATAGTAACCAAAGCAAATGATTCCATGTGAAAAAATAAGAAAATTGACATTGCTGCAATAAAAACATTTAGGAAGGAAATAGCATATATTGTAGAATCTAGAAATCTGACAAGCCTTCAGCTTGAATTTTACCTTATTCACTATAATATCCATGCGTGCAAAAGCATCCCCTGACAGCTAGTGCCACTGCAGCAAGTAACATTTTTCATCAACAGACACAATTCTAAATTTAAGAAGCTTATGAGAATGTAACATTTCTAAAATTAATCATGCAAAGCATTTCCATGGCTTGAGACTGAAGCAAGGATCCAGTGAAAACTGTACTTGGTTTGAGATGGGAAAGAACTGCCTTATCTACGTGCTGAGGTTCACAGTACTTTCCAGACCACTAGTCTGTGGGTAGAAATATATGATGTACATACTCTAACATCAGCCAGTTCTGTTTTCATTATTAAAACATATAGTCTAAAGAAACAAAAAAAAATATAATGGAAGATTAGAAAATAATAACTATTCCTATGAATGTCATCACATACATCAATATGTTACATCAATATGTTAGATTTTTTGCATAACCTCTGGGAAGCCCTTTGTTGTGCCCTAGAAGACACCATGATTGAAAACAGCTAGAACAATCACAGTTTTAAGCACTGAATGTTTAATTAGCCTAGAAAGGAAAAAGAATAAACAAACAAAACAAAAAAAAGGCAAGCAAAGAAGTCCCGTAGAGTGTTTGGGTTTTTTTTTCAGCTACAAACCTTCTCTATCTTTTTCTGGAGAGCTTTCAGTAAGGCTCTCCTCCTCCACACATGTATTACTTTTTTATATATCACTAAAATGTTAAAGAGAAGCAAAGGGAGATGAATCCTTGCCTAATCTAAGGATTCTATAAATTTAGAGTCTAAGACCTTTACCTGCATGATAGCTACCTACAGCATGATTTAGGTGGAACAGTCCAAGTCCAAGACTATGACTCGGGAGGAACAGTCCAAGTCCAAGACTATGACTCAGGATGTCTTCCATCAGCTGCTTCTACCTAATGCTGCAGATACATAAACCCATTAGGGGTCTTCATTTAGGGTTCTTGGAAGCATCAAGATCTCTGCTTCTGTTCTGACCAGCCCTACCTGGCCACAGCATCCCAAACCCTCTCAGTTTAGGACAGACCATGTGGAAAACGAAGAGCATCCTTCTGTTTAATTTCATGTGGGGCTTCATTTACATTTGATACACAGAGACGTGCAAAAAATGCACTGCCTTTTGAATAAAATAAACCACCAGAAACAGGAGAGATTGCCTAAATGCTGTGTGGCAGCACAGTGGTTAGATCACTCAGTTGGAAAAGGAGAACTGGATGCACCATGTACCTTATGAAGGGGTTAAATTCCCACTTGCAGAGATGCCACTCAAAGGCAGGTACTCAAAGTGCTTAGACCCTTGTTTCCTACAGAGGTGTCTGGTTTGGAAGGCTCTGGGGAACATTGCTCCACACGACCTACAAAACATTCCCAGTATCTTAACCAACCTTAAGACAACGTAAGGCAAACTTAAGACTAGGTAAGGACTAAAAGCCACAGCTATATACTACCAAGGAAGAAGCATCAGCAGGGGAGGAAGCATCGCTACCTTGCAGACTCCATCATTGCATCGGTATTTGGTAAATAAAGCAATGAAGTCCCAGAAACAAGTTTCCTAAAAGTTTCTTTAATGATTCCAAAACCTGCAGACTTGCTAAAGGCAGTCGGTGTTTAATAAAGAACAAACGGCCTCTGCCATATTTTTACTAGTTTAAAAGGCCGCAAAGAAGATTAGAAGCTGCAAGAGTCAGAGCCGTTACCGGCGCTCAAGGAAGGGCTTGTCCCACCGCCTGTCACAGCCGTCCCCGCGCCGAGGGGGACCCACGACCTCCCACGCGCCCACCCGCGCCTCGTTCGGCGTGGGTTCGCCGCCTGCCCACCCCCCGCCCCGCCCCGGCCGGCGCACCGAGCATGTCCGCGCCCGCCCCGCCGGGAGCCACCGCGGGGTTGACAGCAGCGGGGCAGCGGGCAGGGCGTGAGGGGCAGCTCCCGCAGGTGAGGGCGGCGGGCAGGGCGTGAGGGGAGCGGGCAGGACGCTGAGGGACAAGCGGGCAGGGCGTGAGGGGAGCGGGCAGGACGCTGAGGGGAGCGGGCAGGGCGTGAGGGGAGCGGGCAGGGCGTGAGGGGAGCGGGCAGGACGCTGAGGGACAAGCGGGCAGGGCGTGAGGGGAGCGGGCAGGACGCTGAGGGGAGCGGGCAGGGCGTGAGGGGAGCGGGCAGGGCGTGAGGGGAGCGGGCAGGGCGCTGAGGGGAGCGGGCAGGGCGTGAGGGGAGCGGGCAGGACGCTGAGGGACAAGCGGGCAGGGCGTGAGGGGAGCGGGCAGGGCGCTGAGGGGAGCGGGCAGGGCGCTGAGGGACAAGCGGGCAGGGCGTGAGGGGAGCGGGCAGGGCGTGAGGGGAGCGGGCAGGGCGCCGAGGGGAGCGGGCAGGGCGCCGAGGGGAGCGGGCAGGGCGCCGAGGGGAGCGGGCAGGGCGTGAGGGGCGAGCGGGCAGGGCGCTGAGGGGAGCGGGCAGGGCGCTGAGGGACAAGCGGTCAGGGCGTGAGGGGAGCGGGCAGGGCGTGAGGGGAGCGGGCAGGACGCTGAGGGACAAGCGGTCAGGGCGTGAGGGGAGCGGGCAGGGCGTGAGGGGAGCGGGCAGGGCGCTGAGGGACAAGCGGGCAGGGCGTGAGGGGAGCGGGCAGGGCGTGAGGGGAGCGGGCAGGGCGTGAGGGGAGCGGGCAGGGCGTGAGGGGAGCGGGCAGGGCGCTGAGGGACAAGCGGGCAGGGCGTGAGGGGAGCGGGCAGGGCGTGAGGGGAGCGGGCAGGACGCTGAGGGACAAGCGGTCAGGGCGTGAGGGGAGCGGGCAGGGCGCTGAGGGGAGCGGGCAGGGCGCTGAGGGGAGCGGGCAGGACGCTGAGGGGAGCGGGCAGGGCGTGAGGGGAGCGGGCAGGGCGTGAGGGGAGCGGGCAGGGCGTGAGGGGAGCGGGCAGGGCGCTGAGGGACAAGCGGGCAGGGCGTGAGGGGAGCGGGCAGGGCGCTGAGGGACAAGCGGGCAGGACGTGAGGGGAGCGGGCAGGGCGCTGAGGGCGGCGGCGGCGGCAGCAGCAGCAGCATCTGCGGGGCGTGTGAAGGGGCGAGTGTCGCGTCTTCCCCGTCCCACGCACCTGAGAGCGAAGGTGTGCCGGCTCGGGGCAGCCTTCGGAGAGGAAGGGGAGAGTTCTGGGTGGGTGCTGCTTCCCGATGTCCTGCCCGGAGCTGTGCGGGTAACACCAGGGTAGTTGTTCCCCGTGGATTCTCGCGGCTGTTGTATCGATGTTGTTCTGCTGACACCATCTCTCTACACTGTGACTTGCCTTCCTCTGGCTCCCTGCTATCCAACCTGGGAAGAAAAACTCTGGGGAAAGCAAGATTTCATCTTACCAATGGCATCTTTTGCAGCCTACGTGTTCAGCAGAGGTCTTTTTACTTTTGCCTACAAGTGTCCAAAAATTGAAGACACAATATTCAACAAGCAGAAATCCTTAATTACATTTGGAAGGTTTAGTGAAGTCCCTGTACTCTGCAGTCGGGATTGGGCATACAGTGCAAAGTGAATGGGACAGGCTGGGAGGGAAAAGGGGAGGGGAGGAAACTCCATTTCTTCATTCAGAAACTGGATGGAACAACCCTGAGGAAGGAGGAACAGCCGTACTCTTCCCGTGACTTTCAGGAGAAGGTCACATTTCGTTTCAGCCTGAAACACAGGACTGACTCACTCTCATGGTGTTTCTGAACAACAACAACAAAATCAGTGATCCATTCTAACGCTTTCTGTTCTTAGGGAAGAGCACAATTTGTGTGGTGATCTTTCAGCCACTTACCTGCTTTGTGTTTCTACAGTGACCAGGAGTGAAGGGAAAATATTAGATCATGTCGGAGTTCTGGCTGATTTCCGCCCCGGGAGATAAAACAAATCTGCAGGCATGGGAGAGAATGAACACAGTGACTTGTAAATCCAACCTGTCCAGCAACAGCAAATTCCATATTCCAGACTTAAAGGTAAATGAGGAAGGGGTTTGTGTATGGGTGATACAGCAGCTTTAGCGAGGGCTAAAGAGTTTTGGGATAAATGTGGGATTTATCTTTAGGGATAATAAGCAGAAAATAGAAGAAGATTGCAGTTGGGGGATGAGTTGTGTTCAGCGAACTGAAAATTGATCAGAAAGAAAAGAAGTCATTGTGCTTGAAGTTGACCTTCACGTTGGAAGGATGTATGTAGAAAGAGTGAAGATGAGTGAGATGAGTTAAATATCTAATCTACTGCTCTCGATGTACCATTTGCTCCCAGTCGTGAAAGTCATACAGCGCTGTACACCTTGGACCGCTAATGCGAAGGGAATAGCTGTGTATTTAGAACCATGCCAGTAAGACTGCTGACAGAGAAGGTGCTATAGTGCATGTTACTCCCTGGGAAATGGATGTGTGTGTATATTCAGCCACATTACCCAGCTTCATATCATCATATAAATAGGAAGAGTATTAATCCAATATTTTTAAAGATATCTTTGCATTATTTAATCCTTATTTTATGTGATCTGAACCTTATTTTTATTTCATTTGTGTCTATGAAAAATCCAAATATGCTTCATTAAAGTCAATGGAGCTACCACAGATGTGGAACTGGGTTCCTTGGGGAGTTGCCATCACCCATCACTTAATGAAGCTACACTGAGTGCATCCAGGATCTGGCTTTAATCCAAAAAGATTGTTAATGGTTATAACTTGAGCTATTATCATTACATAAGGATGCAAGTAAAAGGCAAGTGTGGCCTGTTCTTGAGTATATAACCTACTGAATAACCTACTCGAGAATAACCTACTGAATTGTCACATGAATGTTTCAGGCTGGGAATGTTGCTTTTTGCATGTGCGCCTGAGATTAGTATGATTTTTACCATCTATGGGCCTTACCCAGCCAATGTTGGTGTGAGTCTGCTAATGTTAAAGGAAATAAAGCATTTGCAGTATGTGAAGGTGCAACCAGTCCATTAATACTCTGCTAATTGTTCTATGTAAAATTTAATTCCTCTCCTTCAGCTTGACCCTTCATAAAGCTGAGTTGGCAGACTTACAAGAAAAGGTTCAACAATATATTGCAATACCATAAACACATAAACATGAGGTTATGACTGTGACTGACAGTCATACAAAAAGCAAATGTTGATCTTGGAGGAAATGGCTTTGTGAGAGGCTTAGTCTTTAGTAATAGCAAAGAACGCAGGCAGAGACCCCCTTTTGAATAAGTGCTACTTCCCACAGTTAATCTGTTTTGTCTGTATGTATACAGTGTGCATATCTAGTTACTAATTTGTCAGGTTAAAGACTAGTCTATGAAACTTGATGATACAGAAATTAAAGCAGGAAGGGAGATGCTGATGTGTAATCATCTCGAGACTACACATATGTTTTTCCTTTATCGGAAAAGGCTTTTTATGCCCTAGGTCTCGGGTAAAAGAATCGCTACTATTTTCCACCAAGTAAATAAAACTCTGCCAAACTGTTGAATTCACAAGTGCTAAACATGAGTTGATGTCCCTGAGACTCTGCCAACAGAAGCCTGAGACAGACTTGTGCATCTTTCACCTACTTCTCATCTTTTGCACAGGTGGGGACACTGGATGCTCTTGTTGGTCTGTCAGATGAGTTGGGAAAACTTGATAGCTTTGCTGAAAGGTAAAATAGATCTTATTTACTACCTACGAATGAGAAACAGACATTGTTTTTATGAGATGCTATGTCCTTGTGTTCACCTCGGTCTGACTCAGTTCAGCCCGGACTACAACTGGACTGAAGTGGATAGGCTTTGTTTAACCCTTGTGTTGATTGGCATTGGGTCATCACGAAGAAAGATCATTCCTTAAAATTGAGTCTATGGTAGTTTGGTCTGTAGAGCAATTCACCTGAGTGGCAGTGCTAGGGAAGCTTTTTCTCAAAAGTAAACTTCTTAAAAAGGTTCATGGTTTTTTTTTGTGTTTTGTTTTGTTTTGTTTTTTTAAAAATAACATCTTCCCACGCCATTCAGAAACTTATATTAATAAAACAGCAGTTAGTGACTATGAAGCTTCCCTGATCATATTTTCCTAGAATATTTCTATTGAGCCTTCTGCCCCTTTTCAACCAGATACAGGAATTCTAAGGAGTAAGTCCCTCTGAATGAAATCCAGAGCTCTCCCTCTCAGGCTTTTAAACTCCTTGAAAACCACAATATCAACTCACATTGTATCAAACCTACTTATGCAAAGACTCCCATGATCTCCTTGCTGATCATTGCCTAGTTTGTCTTTTCTGCCAAACTGACCTGGTTGTACAAAGAATAATAGAGTACAGCAAGCTGAGAAAATGCCAGATTGTAAGATACTTCATGGAAGAAAGCAGACTTTGTTGTCAAGGCAATGAAAGTACAAGCTTCTGGGGCTTTGGGGGGTTTTCTTTTTTGCTTTGAAAGCATGCCTCACATAGAGTTGGTGTCTTAGTGACAGAGGCATTTTCTAGCTCTGGGGCTTCTTGCCTTTTTTCCCCAGACATGACTGATAAGGATTTGCTTGTTTAAATATGCTTGATACTTCCATAGATTCTGTCCGGCTGTTGCAAACACGTATAGAAACACTGATATAAACTGTTTACACCTATGCTAGGCAGTTGGGGTAGAAGTAAGTCTGCTAGAATACCTTTCTCCATAGGAATTTTTTTTTTTTAACTGTTGCTACAGCAGCACTGTATTAGGGTGATTACATTTGATCACTCTGGGTCGCACACAACGTTGATCTTCTTAGAATCATAGAATATCTCGAGTTGGAAGGGACCCACAAGAATCACCTAGTTCAACTCCCTGCTCCTCATTGGACTACCTAAAATTAAACCATATAACTTTTTTTCAGAAGTTTTAGCAGAACAGAGCTTAATACATCAAGAAAACCTTTTCCATTGTGACCCTGCCAAAAAAACTGCCCCAAGTTCTTTGTAAACATGTTCAGGCCGCTGGTTCCTACTGCAGAGATTGTTCATGAAGTGAGAATGGGGGCAAGTTTGGAGAGAGATAGTGCCAATACCTGCTATCTGTTCTACTTCAAAGGTGTCTCTAATTAGGGCTGCAGATGGGCAAGCAGCTGTGTCATCTGGGTTTGAGGACTGCCAAATATCATGCAGAACTGATTTTTCAGAAGGGCTTAACTAATTCCCAGGTTTGTAAAGAATTAGGACTTCTGGAAAGCTGACTGTAGGATCCATGTAGGATGACAGAGGGTAGTTTTAAGTGAAATGTCAGTATGAGCTCCCTAGCCTCACTAGCTCCTCCTTTTACCTTTGTCTTGACAACATGGTACAGGTTGTTCTGGCTGAATGCCACTTCACGCCACTAATTGTCCCTTTAATGCCAGTTATGACTTACGGTATGACATGCTATAGGTACTGAGCAAAGTGGGTCGGTGAGGCCTTTCCACTGTAACCTGCTGAGGTAGGGACTCTTCCTATTTGTCTCATTTGCCTGTCGAGCTAGGTAACCAAGAAGGATCAACAAAATTTAAAAATAAACATGTTGAAAAATAAGTTCATCATAGTAGAGTAATAACAGATAATAATAAACACAAATGTATTAGCAGATCTAGTCCCACAAGGACATACAACAACATTTTATAAATAAATTTAAGTGGATTTTGAGTCTAAATTGTGATTCAAGCGTTAAAATGCCAAGCACTCGCAGTTCATTGACTTAAATGGCATCCAAAGGGTTACAAGGCTGTTCAACCAACCTCAAACTAAGAGCATCTATGTTACTGCTCTTCTGAAACAGCTACCTGCTGTGCTGTTGGTAGATAAACACAACTGCCAGTAGAGCCAGGCAGTGCAAACCTGTCAGCACTGCCTCCTGCCAGGACAGCAGAGAATGGGCAAGAGTTTGCAGGATCTATTGTTTCCACATACTTTTATTATTTATTTACACAGGGAGGCAGAGTGTTTTTCCATGTCACTGTGGGGTAGTGTGGAGCTCCCTCAAGCTGACAATCCCTTGGTCACTCTTGCCCAGGGGTTCTCCCGGGTCCTTGGCCTCAGATTGCAGGGCTTCCGCTCCCCTCCGTATTTTGGAGGCCTAGCTGGTATCACCCTTTAATACACAGTATCTTTTAAAAAGTGTTAGACTGTTTTTTACTTTTTTTTTTTTTTTTTTTTTAAATAATGACACTGCAGCTATTTCAGAAGCAAAATGTAAGAGTCTTTCAGTCCATAATAATACACTAAATGGAGTCATTATCTTTACAGGTTTTTATTATTACTTCTTGAGGAGGTTTAGCTGAAACCCTCTCCTTTTATAATGCATCATTTGAGCATGCTATTTGCTCAAGGTGGGATTCATCTCATCTAAAAGCAGAGGTTTAAGGATTGCATGTGAAAGCTGCTTGCTGTTGGATGTCACTATAGTTGATGGGGCTCCCCCAGGGCTCTCATTCCTTTTGCGTGCCTCAGACAGCGGTGGTGTGCAAGGTGTGTGTTCTGTCTTTGCATGCGGAATGTATTGGATGAGTGAATCCCACTTGCATTTCACAGGGTCAAGGCAAGGCACAGAAACTAAGCCAGAACTGGAGAATGTTTCTCTGGCCCAGTATATGCATACATTCTGTCTGTGTCCTGCTGCAGGGTCCTTGGGGTGTGTGGGCTGGGAGGGAGCCAACCCTCACCTGGTCAGCTAGGACTGTTGGGTGCATGAAAGCACATACCTGTCCCACTGTCTGTACCTACAGAAAGAGACCAGAGCTCAATGTCTCCCAGCTGTCACATTAGCTGTCAGCTGCACTCAACAATAACGAAAGCAGCTCAGGCCCCTTGGAAAAGCTACTGGTTTATACACTTCCCTGTTGAATGCTTTCTCCGTAATGTCTTTAGCCTCCTGCTATACTGTTCATACCAACTGAACTGGAGTCCTGTCATGTTCAGAGTTCCTTTGGGCTCCCTGAGCACCATGAAGGAGCCAAAAACCAGCTGCATCCACAAGCCAAAAATTGCAGAAATGCTTGGCGAGGTCACAGCTGATGGGGAACTGCTGTGTGGATCCCTGCACCCTCCCTGCAGCACGAGTGTGGGCAACACGCGCTGTCCTGCAACGCTCAGCTGTCACTGGGTCCCTAAGTGGCTGCAGCCAGATGGTGACAAACTGCAGCAGCCTTGGGAGAGGGATGTGAACTAGGGCACAATGGTGTAGATTCCTCCTACAGGCACTCTGAACTGCACCTGTCCAGGGCCAGAGAAGAATGGTTTGGGTTGGAAAGGACCTTTAGAGATCACCTGGCCCAACCCCCCTGCTGTGGGCAGGGACACCTTCCACCAGACCAGGTTGCTCACAGCCCCGTCCAACCTGGCCTTGAACCCTTCCAGGAAGGGGGCAGCCACAGCTTCTCTGGGCACCCTGGGCCAGTGCCTCACCACCCTCACAGTAAAGAATTTCTTTATGTCCAATCTAAATCTACCCTCTTTCAGTTTAAAGCTGTTGCTTCTTGTCCTGTCACTACAGGCCCTAGTAAAAAGTCTCTCTCCGTATTTCTTATAAGCCCCCTTTATATAGTGAAAAGCCACAATAAAGTCTTCTCTTCTCCAGGCTGAATGACCCCTAACAGCAGGAATTCTGACTACTGCATTCTTGGCAGCATCAGCAATCTCAGATTTTTTTCCTCCCTATCACAAGACTGGAAAACCTTCCCTAAGACTGTAAGTTTCTTCACAGGGATGGAGGTAGAGGGAATCTTCACCTTTATGAATTCCTGCTTTTAAATGGCCCATATAACTGCTTTGCAGCACATCAAAGAAAATCCTTTCATGGTGGCTGTACCTGGCCTGAAGTCCCTTTCTTGAGCTCTTGAAAGCCACAGGATGTCACAAGACTCATTGTCCAAACACTGTAGGTGCCCTTTCAGTCTCCAGCTCATCTGCAGCTGTAGTAGTCTCCCCTCTGTAAGGAAAGAAAGGGAAAAGCCTGCCATTATGCTCCACTCCCTGTCACTACACCAAGGATTGTCCAATTCGTGTCCCTGCCAATTCCATGACCACCAGGCAGTTACTTTTTAGCTGTTGATTTTTTTTTTCTTTTTTTTTTTTTGTTTTTCCTAATGAGGTGCAGTCAACCTGGAACGGTTAGGGAACTGAAGGCCAAATTCTGTGAATATTTTTGAGTACAGAAGCATACTAGAACAACCAGAAAGGCACTTGGCATGTATGAGATAGATACTTTGAGCCAGGGGGCTCTACTGCTGGAGGGACTTTATAAATCCATTTTTTAAAAATAAGAAAAGAGTAAGTAACTGTTTGGAGACAATGTTCTCCAGGAGGGGCTCTGTTCAAATTACTGCTCTGAATTGGTCAGGAGGATTTGAATCTAGTTCTCCCACACCTTACAGGAGTGTCTTGTCCACCATGCTAAAGAGAAGAGAGAAAGAATCCCCTAAAGAAGAGGAACAAGAAGGAAATTGTCCCTGTCAAACAAGAGAACATTGTCATTTTCCCCCAAGTACTTTGTAAGAACCTTATCTCAGCAAGCCCTAAGGGCTTATTTAGCATCCCGTGGAACAGATTTTCAGCCAATGTTGTCTGTATGTAGCCTCCTAGTTCCTCCATCACCTTTGGAGTTTTAAATGTGGGTTTCTTGCCTTCTGGTTTCTGCTATGAGTGTCATGAGTATATAGAAGACTGAATCTTGATCTTCTGAAAGCCTAGAGCACTGGGGAGATGATATTACCTATGTGTTTGAGGAGATCGGTGTATTCAGAAATAAGGTATTATCATGGAGATGATTGTTTATCATCATTTGAATTGAAAATTAATCTGCTGTGGTTCCGAAATGTTTTGTTTGGGCATTTCCATGTTTATCAGATCATTGTGGCAACTGTTTTATACTAATTTTGTTTCTTCACTAACAAAGACTCTCTTCTTACACCTAAGCGTAATAAAGAAAATAGCCCAGTACATAGGAGAAGTTATGGAGGACTCAAAAGATAAAGTCCAGGAAAATCTTCTGGCCAATGGAGGTAGGTGCTGTGATTGTGATTTTTTTAATGCATTGATGCTGCCTTTGTTTGCTTCAGAATATGAACATGTGGAGTTGAAACAGTCACACATTAGAAAGGACAACCATCAGCAACGTTTTTTAAGAACACATCTGGCCTGCTCCCATTTTTGTCAAAATTAGCAGAAGCTTTATCCAGTGCCAACTTTGCTTCCAGAGCAGTGTTCAGCACCTAGTACTGAACTAGTTTCTAACACCAAAGCTGAGGAGTGAAGAGGAAATCAGGAGACATCCTTCTTCAGTCCTAAAATGACCTAGCGCCTTTCTGTGCCCTGTATAGGCTTGATCTCTTGCAGGCAGCTGAACCTCATTCAGTATGGCTGCATGACATCTGTCAGTGATCTGTTAATGATTTGCCTTCCCTCCTACCATACTGGGATAGATCATGTTGTTAACTGTGGATTTCTGACATCACGGATGGATGTGTGAGCCAACAGCTCCAAAACATGGAGCTGGGGCTGCCCTCACAAGGGGGTGCCAGGGGCTGGCACGATGTGCACGTGCTACTCCTGCTGGGAGGAAATGTCCTCCAGTGGGGTCCTGCCCTGGCTGGCAGCAGTGGTGTGGCAGAAAAGAAGAATGGGCAGTGACAGCAGAGGCACTTCTGACACGTCAAAGGGCTGTGGGAGTCCACTACCTCATTGTATGCTCCCCCGCATCATCTCTGAGTAGTCAATGAGGTGTTTTTATAAACTCCATGAACTGATTTTCCCCCCTTATTATCTAGTACGGTACTCAAGGCCCTAAAGGGAGCCTGTGTCAAGGTCAAAATTAACGTTTAGAAACTGATGGCTTGTAGATCTCCACATGTTTCATTAGATGCTGAGCGTGTTTCAAAGCAAATTCCTCCTTAGCTGTCCTGGAAAAGTACAACAAAATTGGATGTGCTACATGTGCTAATTGCAGGCTTGTAGAATGATGCTTTTAAATAAACTAAGAGTGTGCACTCCATCACCCTTTGACTGTCTGCAGTGTTGTCCTTCAGATCTGTATGAGAAAAGTATGGGGAGGAAATTCTTTTAGAAATGCCCCCTTTGCATGACATAAGACTGACATTTGATGAGTGCAACTGTTTGACAAGTACATTAATCCCACTTAATGTGTTTCAGGGCTAAAGGATAAAATGAAGTGTCTCAAAAGTATGTTGAGGATTGATGATTGCAGTGTTGTTACAAGCATGCATTTGTGTGTATTAGTGATAGAGACAAGTCTTGGTCTGGTTGTAGAGATACAGTGATCAGGTTGCGATGGATTTCTCAAGTAACAACCTCGTAGCTTGATCACGATATCCCTATGACTTGAGAAACAACAGGTTTCACTTATTTCCTTCATTTCCTCTCTTCACACCATTTTCCTTTCCTATCAGCTCTGCCTGTGTGGTAATAGAAGGATGTGGAAATTACTTGTATGTGTTACTAATTTCTGTCTTCTGTCTGAATTTGGTCATCCAAACAAATCATATTAAACAAAGACATTAACCTTTCCAAGATTATTGACTGCATCTTAAAAACTTGAGTCAACTTTAATATATGAGGATTCCCCTAATATAGTCCAGTGCCATTTTTCATGAGCAGCAGCAACTTTGCTGTATGAATTCTTCTTCCTTCCCTTCCTGGTTAGCAAAAGGACCCTAAAGTTGCAGAGTTCCTTGAGGTTGTGAAATCAGAAACAAAATTATAAGACATGACATTTTGGTCCCATTTCAGACTATTAGACCATCCTAACTCAAATTTTGGTTTAAGTTACACTATACAAGTTTTCTGATTTTAGCTCAGTTGTACATAATCCTGACAACAGTTCAGTCTACAAACTGATGAAGGTGGTGGCTCTGTGTCGAACAATTTTTTGGTTAGATTTGAGTGAAGAAAAATGTGAAGTACTAGAAAATACAGCACTTCTAGTGATGTGAACAGACACGCTGCTTTCCAGTGGGCAGCAGTCAGAAGCAGGCACTTGGAGAGAAATGTGTGCTTGTGTAATAAAGGGAATTTTAGTATATCACAACAGCAGCTAATGCTTTCTTGCTTATGACAGAATTAGAAGTGTAAAATGTGAGTAAAGCTTTTCTTCAAAGATTTAGACCAAATTCTCTTCCATTTATAGTGATGTTAAACCCAAATGAATTTTAAAATTTGTTAAGTGGTGGAATAACTGCATTCTTTATAATGAGCTCAAAACAAAACAAAATGGGAAGCATAACAGTTTTGAAGAATTAAGTGTTTTGAAGGGAAAGTACTTAACATTGCCTCTTAGAGCTGGATGAATAAATCAGAGTTATGAGAAATTCAGTCTGTGGGGTTCCTGGGCAGCTGTGAGCATGTTGGGGTAGGTAGGAAGCATCTCTCCTGGCTAGGCAGCTATGTGAGGTCTTTCAGAAGTGACTTGACAGGGTTGCGTAAATGAGGGATGTCATTCCAGGAGCATCAGGTTGCTTGGACTGCTTGGCATTTTAAGCTCAATTCTGCTAGTGTGTTCACTGTAGTTTGTGCCATCCCCAAGATCAGGATGCTTAACTAAACTGCACCAGTGCCAGAGCACTGCTCAGGAGTCAACTTGTAAAACAGGCTGAGAACTTATGCTGTGCTTAACTACTTAACATTTGAATTCTACTGAGGTTCAAGGCATACGAGGATAGAAAGGGCATGTGTAGGTCTTCAGGGAACTTTCATATCTCCTCAGCTATAAATCGATCAGTGTCTGTCTTCAAAGAACCTGTGAATACACTGTTCCTCCATGCAGCCCAGTAATATCATGCTATTTGCAGGTTTCATTTACGTTGGATTCAGCAAAGCCTAAACAAGAAAGCTTGCAAGAGAGACAGCAGGATAAAATCCCTGTGTTGCATACCCTGTGCTGAAAATTCTCTGTCAACTTTGTTGCTCAAGTATTTTTGACCTCCCTGCCTTCCCCCCAGAGGCCATGAGCAAGCACTGCCAGAGAACTGTGCATGCCGGAGCTGTGTGTTAGCTCTCCCTGCCATCTGCAGTTTTGCCCCCTTTCCACAGCCTCCCTGTTCGGGAGAATTTGTTGATTCGCAGTGAGAGCTTAGCAGAAAAGTTTGGATCTTTGCCTCATGACTCCTGTCCATTGGATGCGGGGGAGATTTACACAGCTGTGGTTTATAAGAGGGGGAGAACACTGTCATGCCAGTGCTCGCTGCCTCCCAGGCAGTTTATCCCTTGCCTGTTTCCTCCTAACATAAGACTTTCCATGCTTTGGAAATCTAATAGGGTAAACTGACTCTGTTGTGGGGTGAGAGAAGCCCATGGAAAGGATAGTGCTCTCCTGCCAAGGGTATTCAGTATCACACGAGACAGGGTAGTACCCTCAGCCTGGTAGTATGGCAATTACACAACTTTTCACATTCCTTCTTATGCATCTTGGTTCAGAAAGTTTTCCCCACACCCTGGAAGTCCAGCCCACAAGAGATTGTGCTCAAACCTCGCTGTGGGACTGAATTAATTCTTTGGACAAGGCAGCAAAGAGCACTGAATGACTGCAGCACGGCCCTCCTTTTACTTGTCACCTTGAGCTTGTTTTGCTCCCCATCTTCCCAGAGCAACTTCCCGGGTATTCTCCATGATTGCCCTCCTGGTCTGGAAGTCCACCCTGCAGGTGACAGTGCCTCTGGCCTCTTTGTCTAGACATTAAGACCCTGCTGGCTGCCTTCCTCTAGTGTCCCTAACTGCAGGGGACAGTCCCAACCCTTCTGCTTGTTGTGGCAGGACGTGTGACTATCCTATCCCATAAAGTTGCCTGAGAACACTATGTAGGGGTGTGTTTTGCATCCTAAGGGCTCTTGGGAGTCAGGCAAAGAGCTGTCTGATTTCATAAGCCCCTAGAGAATTCCTTATTTGGTACCATTATGCACTAAACCTTAGTGTTTTCTAATGTTAAGGAGCCTTAGCCTTCAGAGTGAAACAGCATGATCCTGTTCTAGGAGCTGGGTGTCATATGTGTCTTCTCCCCTCAATTCTGGGAAGAAGCCATGGCTCTCCATGGTCCGAGGGTGCCTTGTTTTGGGGGGGCTGCATGCACAGGGCCTTGCTGTGAATTTCTATTTGTGGATGCTGTGAGTGGATCTAATCCATTTAGAGAAATACTGTATAGCTTTTTGTGAGATGGAGAGCTCTGTGTGCAGAGTCAATGAGGAATTCCTCATCGCACCTGAATTTGTTTGATTTCCAGTGAGCGCTTGACTGAATCACGGAGAAGTGACATCAGCTACACTCTTAATACCTTTGATCAAGCTCCCAACAACCCTGAATAGTACTGCTGGTCCTGGGCACAAAGTATTTTTCTGATAGATCTTGCTGAGATTAAATTCAGGCATATTTCTAATCAAGATTGAGGTTACATGAAGCTGTTTCTACTGTGAAGAAGAATGGCTGCACATTGCGGTGTCCTGCTGATACAGCTAATTTTACAGTAATGGATGTTCTATACTGTTAAGTGTAATGCAGAAAAGCTTTCTGGTTCAACATCTAACTTTGGGGATGTTTAGAAAGATGACTAGATTGGGCGTGTGATCTGCGTGGATTTGATCTAGATCAAATTTCTATGGGGATTCAGAGGTGGGCTTCGGGTTCACGCCTGTGTCTAATGTTAGTCAAAGTTATGCCTAAACTATAGCTTGGGACTACGACCCAAACTGACCTGCCATCTGGTAAACTATCTTCTTTCATGCATCTGTTTGCATTTTCAGTTGACCTAATTAGCTACCTGACACGGTTTGAGTGGGACATGGCCAAATATCCCATAAAGCAGCCGCTGAAGAATATATCAGAAGCCTTAGCAAAGGTAAATTGTACTCCAAATTTTAAGATGTCGGCATGGGGAAGCATGTCTTTTGTCAGTTTTTGGTCCCTCCTCTCATCATATCAGTGAGAGCTTTGCCTTTCCTTTGGGCAGGAGTGGACTCAGCACACACTTCGTACTAAAGCAGTTGATATTTCAATTTCTATTATATTAATGTTGCCTGTATTTAAACCTATCTAGTCTGTAAGTATAGCATTTTATCAGATTTACTAGAGCACATTGACATGCTTTCTGCACTTTAATCCCCTCATTTTAATATCTTATTTTTTTTATATACTGCCATATTATTCTCCATTTTGGAGTTCTTTTGTGAAATTGTTGGCCTGACATTAAATCAAACGTATTGCAGGCTGGATGAATTATTTACACTGTCAGTCCATTCAGAAAGGCGTGATGTGTTGTTCAATACAGCTAACAAATGAAACTGTGAACTTGCTCCTTGGGTACAGCTGTAACACATACAGCAGCAGCCAACTGTATCCTACTTTCTGCGGAGGCCTTTGCCACAGGGGAGCTCTGGCAGCAGCTCCTTCTCGGCCGCAATCAGCGGGTTTTATGAGGGGCTGACAGCTGTGTCCTTGTGTTAGGGTGCAGAGGTAGCAGAAGGGGTGTGATGACAAGGTCTCAAGCACTGAACTGACTTACTCTTTTCTACTTTGTTTTAGCAAGTGACTCAAATAGAAACAGACCTAAAGACCCGATCAGCCGCATACAACAACATTAAAGGAAATTTGCAAAACCTGGAGAAAAAAACCGTGTAAGTATAGCACATGCCTGGTTTTGTCTGTAACGCTGCATGGCTGAACTGAGGACAGTGCATGTGCGGTGCAGTGGAGCATGTGTGTTCTGATGGGAACAAATTTTTTTGGCTTTGGGTCATGCTGAGCATCTGCAGACCCAGCAAAAGCTGGGGAGGAAGCTGGTGTGATCAGCATGTCTCAAAATCATGTCGGGGACACCGCAGTTCCTAACAGGATTTTATTGCAGTGTGAGCAGGCAGTCTTGGAAAGAGTCAAAATAAAATGCACTGTATTGTTCTGATGAGATTTCAGAGAGTTGGAAATTAGATGATCTGGGTCAGCTGGTGGATTCCTTTGCCGTACAGAGATGTTTCCTATGTTCTGAAGAGCATTTGCAGAGCTCCCGTAGGAAACAGCTCTGTCTTGCTTGTTCCTACACCTCAGCAGCATCCCACTTACATTTTTCCTTTCTTTGTTTCATTCTGTTGGTCCAGATAATTCCCTGTCAGGGCTTCCCAAATGTTCTCTCTCCTGTCTTCAGCTGCTTATGGTCTTTACCTATGTCAGTGCTGACACATGGATTTTTTTCCAGGGTATCACTGGGGAGAATAATAAGTTCCAGTATGTAGCGTATTTAAAGCAACTCAGATGATGCTGTGCAAGCCCTTGCCCAACACATGCTCATCTGTGCCACTCTGTCCTACTCACAGCCCCTTGCTCTGGGCACAGGACGCGGGTCCTCACTTCCCTGGCACTGCAGCCAGCCAGGCTGGCAGCCCGCCTAGAAACCAGCCTTTACCCAAGGAAGATACTCACAGGGGCTCAAACCAAACTCCACAGTTGTTGGAATTTTGTTCTGAATGTGGAGCTAAAATTAGTATACCTGGCACCAACTCCACTGAACCCAGCAAGAAACCACAGAAATAATACTTCCAGGTGGTGGTTCAGCACAAGTTTGTCAAGAAAACGCTCTCCCTTATGGAGACCCATTCAACACGGGGACTGCAGTGCCCACGAGGGTCAGCAGCAGAGCTGTATCACAGTTACATCTCCCCCTCTCTCTGCTGAGTTCCTGTGTCCCTGCCTCACCACTGGCCTGTGCTTCTCGCTTGGTATAGACAGTGTTAGACACATTTGTCTCAGGCTGCATGCATGTGGATAATCATGGGCGAGAGGGATTAGGGGATATTAGCTCCCGTTTCCCTTTTCTTGGCACCGTTCATATTCCCAGCCTACTCCTGCAGCATCTCTCCGGCTTCCATGTCAGTTTTAAGCACCCGGAGAGAGGCAGAGCTCTGTGTGGAGAATATGAGCAATGCCAGGCCTCCAGCAGGGAGAAGAATGGAGACCTCGTGGTCCAGGCCTATCTTTCTCCCACCATCCTGTCCACCTTTAAATGATGGCATCTCTGGTGTTTACCAGTACCAGCTAGCTTGGGTTGAACAAGCATCTAATAAGATGTTACTGGCCAGTTAATTAATGTTTAGACTTACTCTTCCCGAAGAACGGTCACACAGGCAGCTCAGCAGGCAGCTTCAGAAAGCAGGTGGCTCCTGAAAGATGCAGCAATGATGGGAGCAGGGTGGTAATTTCAGCTGTGCACTTCCCCTGCACCTCCATCCTTACTGTAGAAACAATAGCTGCAGAATAGTGTAATTTAACATAAAGGACATAAACTAACCTAGTGCTAGTCACCAGTATTCTGCCATTAGTACTGTTGCTTTTTTGTTCTTTTTAGTTGTAGTAAAAATAACTAAATGGACGTTTTAGAAGTATAGATGGGTCCTTTAGCCACCTCCCTCCTGGCCGCCTTCTACCCCAGTATACAGTGTTAGCAACTATACCCACAGCACAATACCTCCAGTGTGCTGCTGCTGGGTTCCTGCTAATGTTATTTTTCCTTTGTCTTCTTCACCACAGGGGAAATCTGCTGACTCGGACCCTAGCAGACATCGTGCATAAAGAAGACTTTGTTCTGAATTCTGAGTATCTCATCACGCTGCTTGTCGTGGTGCCAAAGTAAGGCAATAGTGTGTGCACACCGCTCAATGTGGCATTGAGTTTCAGGCCTCAGCACCGGCTCCAGGCGATCCTGGGTCAGGTTGGGGCAGCTCATCAGCCTGTGGCTGGGGCATGGGTGGAGCTGTTAGCAAAGAGCAGCCTCTGCTAAGGGTGGTGCTGCCACAAGAGAAATACACAGAGACGGCTCCAAACTTGGAGCAGGACAGAATTGGGATGTAGGTTTTTTAATGGTTCTGGAGTGGGTTCTCAAACAGCCTCCTGGTGTGGAACAGTACAAGTTAAAAAAGAGAAAAACAGATTCTTACTGGAGTGTAGCCAGTTTATAAAAGAATTAGAGCTGTCAAACTCACAAGGCCTCTGTTGGCCATGCGTTGATAAGTCCCTGTACATAGGATGACAGCCATCACCATCAGTTGTGAAGTTATACGATGCCCTTCTCAGAAGCCTACACAAGACTTTTCCTCTCCGTATAGCCCGGTCCCAACACACACATACAGTACTGCCACTCTTCTGTCTGTGAAATACATGTTACAAAAAGCTATCTGAGATATGTTTGTTGAGTTCCTTATTTGCACTTTTTTTCAGATTCCCCCCTATAAACACTTCTTGTTTTGCAAACTCCTACCATCCCCTCCGCCCCTTTCTCCCAGTGCTGGCACTTGCCATATTTGCAGCATAGCGCCAGATCAACTCTGGGATTGCCTGTAGCAGATGTACCACACCTACCCATGGATCAGGGGCAGCTTGTGCAGGGATCCTGGAGCATGGGGCGCTGCATGCCAGCTGGGAAGTATGTGCCAAAAGCCACGTTCTTCCCACCATCAGCTTCCTGCTCTTCCTCATGCCAGGACCCAAAGTGAGGATTGAGGGTGCAGCATTGAGGGAAACATCTCCCTAGCTGGTGACTAGGAGAGGCTTAATGTATCTTAATCCCATAACTCGGCACAAAGAGCTCCAACCCTTCCACCCTAAGCCATTAGTTTAATTAACTATATTTATCAACACATTTTCTGTTTAGTATATAGTATTTATTTATTGTGCTTTCTTTTGTGTTGCTCAAAGGTCAAGCTATGTACAGTGGCAGAAGACCTATGAATCCCTCTCCGATATGGTAGTGCCTCGCTCCACCAAGTGAGTGAAATTCCAAATTAAGGTCCTGGTTTGTTTCAGAGATCCCTGTCATAGTTTAGCCCCTCAAATTGCTGGATCCTGAAAGTAATCACTTGTCTAATGCATGGACTCCATGTTCACATATAGATTTGCCCAATCTCATTCTCAATTGAAATCAGAAATTACTCTGTTGAAGGAAAGCACAGATGAAAGAAAATCACTTTTTTTTTTTTTTATAATTAGCTTGTTGTTCCCCTTTCCAGTAATCTAGTTCTTTCTACTTTCAACCAGGGCCTTTGCTTTTTGTATAAAACAGATAAACAATTTGTTACAGTAATCCAGGCAGAATTCAGACATGTGCAATCACATATAACTTTAAGGAAATTACTTTTTACAAAGATCAAACGCTATCTTTGCATCTTTAATTAATTGCTTCCTTCTGTAGAATAGGATAATTCAACGTATTGTCATTTGCATTAGCAAGTGCCATATTAACTTATCCTTTCACCTGGAGTAAAAAATCCTTCCTAGGAATTAAATATTCACACATGAGGTCCAATCCAGGGCACAAGAGGTGACAGTGCTATCTGAAATGGAAGAAGTAGAAAGCACAGAGAAAGGAGAAAGCTGTTTGCTACTGCCTATCTCAAAAAAACAAGTGCATGGGAAGTGGGGGAACGTTACCAGGAAACAGAAGAATCAGGCAGGCAGAATGTGTGTGTAGTGCGATGGGTTCAGGAACTTAACTCATGGGAGTTCTACACTGGAGATAGTGTGGCCAGTGCTAGTAAAGCCTTTGTTCCCTATTGCAGTCACATCAGTTCTTGAAAAGCAGGGTGTTGTTCTGTACCATAAATTAAAAAAGAACTGTAAAAGAGGGAGGTGGAGAAGGCATGAGGGATTTGCCATGTCAAATCATAGCAGTGAATTTCCCTCCCACAGAATGATTGCTGAGGATGCAGAGGGAGGACTCTTCACCGTGACCCTATTTAGAAAAGTGATGGATGACTTCAAGGCTAAAGCCAGGGAGAACAGGTAAGAAGCACTCACTGATGGCTACGCAGGGCAGGCTAGCAAGCAGATAATGAGGATAAGGTGAGGCTTGTTCTGTGTACGGTACAGATGAATCCACCACTGGTTTTCAGGACTTCTTTACTGTCTGGGCTGCTGCTGGCCCTAAAGCCTCTGGGATGACAGTGTGGGAAGGAGCTGTAGCAGCAGATACAGTGATCCTGTTCTTCAAGCACCAAACTATAGATCCTCAAATTGTCCTTCCTGCTCTCATGAGAGCAGGCAGCTTGCTTTCTGGGGGTGACTTCAACCCTCACCCTCTACATACTTTAACTAGTTAAATGGTTAGCAACTTGGAAATAGCCTGCACCTGCTTCTGCAGAGGCAAAAGAAATGAGCATGCATATTGCTTGGACTATGGCTTGTGAGAGCAAATGTCATTCAATTGTAGGTTCATGGTTCGAGAATTTTATTTTGATGAGAAGGAACTGAAATGTGAAAAGGAAGAGCTGATGAAATTAGCTTCTGATAAGAAACAACAATATGTAAGTAGCACATCATGTTGATGGCCCACATGACAGCCTTTGCTTCGGGCATGCCTATGCACCTCTCGCTCAGAAATGGCTTTATGGTTCCAGCAGAATCCTGTGAGGTCCATTTAGCCCAGAAAATTGAGGCACAGGGTAGATAACACAATTTGCCCAAGGTCATTTGTGTTTCTGGTAAACTGGGAGCCACTAACAGGCTGCCTGAGAATTATCTCAGCAGCGCCCCCAGCTTCGGTGGCGTTAGCTCTGGAGCTGCTTCACACGGCAAGGGGGATCACAGCGCTGCTGTGTCTGTTCTCACAGGGCCCGTTGCTGCGCTGGCTGAAAGTGAACTTCAGTGAAGCATTTGTGGCTTGGATTCATGTGAAAGCCTTGAGAGTTTTTGTTGAATCTGTCCTGAGGTAAGTGAGTAACCACGCAGTGCCGGCAGAGATTCCTGTAGAAATCAAACTGTACAGGGCTCTTCCTGGGGCAGTTCCTTTGTGGGAGGGAACATCCCTTACACACCTCGCTCCAGGAGCTGACAATACAGATGACCACAAAAAAGGTGACATACATAGAAGGGTTGATAAAAAACAGTTCTCTGGGGGCACTTACAGGGACGTGGAAAACAGAAAGGTGCTGTTTAGTTGACTGTCGGCTTCAAAAAGAAAATGCTTTTAGATAAGGAGGCAGCACCCCCGCCCTGAGATGTGTTCTGCAGCGCACCACCAGGTAGGGTGGCCAGAGCCTGAAGTGGGAGAGGGGCAGGAACAGCAAGGCGTGCCCCCTCCCAGCAGGTGACCGGGTGTGTTGATGTGTTTCAAGGTACGGCCTCCCAGTGAATTTCCAAGCAATGCTGCTGCAGCCAAATAGGAAGTCTGTGAAACGCCTCAGAGATGTCCTGAACGTGGTCTTCAAACACCTGGATGAAGTTGCAGCAGCAAGTATAATGGATGTAAGTATTTGGACTGCAAGTGCACATGCTGGAGCTTTTTTCGGCTTAGCCAAATGAACGCTGTCACTGTCCAGGGGCCAGAGCACACATCTCCTCCCGTTTTGCCATGCTGGGAACCCTGGATGCAGCTCTAATGCCTGGTGGTTGCATATTTGATTAATGTAACAGGAGGCTCAGATTATGATGGATGGAGATAGATTGCTTACGTTTTCTGTTGAAGCATCAGATGTTTACAACTAGCGGCCTAAAACAGTTCCTGTAGGTTAAAAGCTTCAAGTTTTCTATAGACATTCTGATCAACACAGCAAGAAAAATGAACTCGGAACTAAATGCTAGGACTGTGCCACCTCTGTTCCCTGTGAAAGCAAGCACCAGTACTTGCTTTCTCCCTCCTCTATCTTGAGTGCACAAACAATTTAGGATAAACTGAATAAGGTAAACCAGTAGGCGTTAAAACAGCCTAAAACCATCAAGGATAAGACTTCCAGTGCATGAAGGGAGGAAAAAGAAATGAGTTGCTCTAGAGCTGAAGCACACAAAAATATGACAGTACATGTTCATACAGTTGCAACCAAGCACAAATTCTCAGTGGTGACTGCATCAGGCAGCCTGAAAACACTAAGCAAACACCAGTGGTGAATTCCCCACCTTAAGCACCGCAAATACAAAACTTTATTCCACCTGTGGAAGAGGAACACGAAAGCAATCCGCTGTAGTGTGGAACTGTGCAAGTCTGTTCACTGGTACTAAAATCATATTGTTTCCTTTTGCAGCCTGGCATGGACATCCCTGGTTTACAACTGAGTAATCAAGAATACTATCCTTATGTCTATTTCAAGATTGACCTCAGTCTTCTTGACTGCAGTTAAAGAAAAACTGCTCCAGCTTCATCTGTAAATGTTACAGTAAAACAATCTTTAGCTACTGAAAGTCAAATTAAAACAGATGCTGTAGCAGGATAATTGCTAAAGAACTTCCTACCACTTCCAGTAATTTTTACAGCGATTTCAATATAAATATCTCTTGTTCATAGTTTTACAAAAACATATTTCAGAGTCAGGAGGTACTATGGTAGTATTTATTTTTTTTTTTGTTAAGTTACAAAGGTGGAATATCTATTGGACTTGAAATAAACCAATTTGAAGTGTGGTGGCTAATGGATCTACTAGGTGTATACAGTCCTGTTTTTCTAACAAAGCAAACTTAAACTGCAGAAAAAGTAGAAATCAGACCAAAACTCAAAGTTTTTTTAAATTAAAAAAAAAAAAAAAAAGTTTAAAAAAGATCCGCAAAATCCGCTGTGGAACATAGCATAGTACAACTTACAGTCCCAAGTATTTGTAAGTTTAGTTTTTGCCAAGACATTTCAGTTAGAAGAGTTCTATTCAATCTCATATACTGGGATGACTTAAAACTGCACCAAATCAGCAGTCAAGTTACTGTTGGCTACCAGCAGCTCTTACGCCACCTTTCACAGGGATCAACTATGGGCCTCTTACAGACCCTAGCTGACTAACACCCCTATTAAGTTATTTCCTTGAAAGGAAGGGAAACTTTCAGCTCATTCCTGCCTTGTGAACAGGCTGGTCCCATGAGGGTCACTGCACTAGACACCAATATATAAGGCATGGAGAACAACAAAATATAATAGTATTTTTATTTAAAAAGCAGCAGTAACCATCCCCATTCCTAATTCCCCTTCCAAGGAAATAGCAGTTTCAGATCAAAGCAATGCCAGATGGGAAGTGAAGCAATTTTACCCAATTTGCTGGAGCCAGCACCATGGTGTTTTTCTGTTAGCACCTGGAAATCCTCATGCCCTAAAACAGGGATTAGCTTCACCGCTAATCCAGGGGAAAAGACCAACAGCTCCTGGTGTCTCGCATTGCGGCAGTGACCTCACTTCCACTCTATTAATAATCTTAAAGTCTGGCACAAATAAAGAGAAAGCCCCTGAGAAGGAATAGGAAAAGGAAGACTAAAGAGCATCTAAACTAAGATTGTCAATGTAATCTGGCTTTAGGCCAAATTGTCAAAATTGTTCACAGCAAGGGGGTTGTTTAGGACTCCCCTCTGCACCAGCCTCTCTCTCTCCTACAGTTCAGTTTTCAAGAGTCATCCAAAAATGGGATAGCTTAGCACATGCACCTTTGTTACTCTATACAAGACTAACACCATGTGTCAAAAATATTTTATTTTTTAATTGAAACAGAAGCTGACCGGGCTCCACTTCCATGAAAAAAATATCACATTTAAAATTGGTTACACTAATAGCCTCCAGTAACATTCAAAACAGCACACTATCAACAAAATAAAACCCAAGATGTTCCAGAGAAATATCCATGTTGTCCTCAAAATATTTGTTACACAGAATACAATCAAGTTTACTGGTTATGACAATTCATAGAATTTCTGCATTGTTTTCTTGAGATGTGTACAGTTCACTGCTGCAGTGCATCAAACAGCACAGTGTGTCACGTGCTATTTCTCCATGAAAAGGCCACTGGAATATCCATCTGAATGTGAACCAGGTTGCAAACTGCTGCACAAACTCTCCCAAGAAAAGAAGTTTCCTGAAGATCTCACAGCTCATCTTTATCCCAGTCGTCCAGATCCACATCACTGAGATCAATATCATCTTCAACTGGAAGCTGTGAAAAAGGGAAGGTTTTGCGCACACCTTTAGAAGCTCTGAACACCAGGACATCACTGACTCTGCTGCATCCTGAGAGTAACACTCCCTCCTGTCATCTCTCTCATTCATAAAAATTCAGTGTATTAAGCACAGGACAAGGTATCAGAGTTTATACTAGAAGGTTGTTTTCTACTAAAAAAAATACTTCAGATAAAGGCAAATACAGGTGAACTGTAACAAAACCATTATCATATTCCATATTTTAATTCCATCTGAAGTAGGTCAAAGGATTGCACTAACTTTTTTTACAGCAACATTGAACCTTAAGAACATATTTAATCACTGTGTTATTTATTACACAGGCTTTACCTTACAAGCTTTCTGACATTAAGATTTTGATGGTAAGGTCAGCATATGTCAGAACCAAAGTCTCCACAACATTTGGATCTTGAACGCATATACCACCACCTCCCCTAGGTAATAACACTTTTCAGTCTCAAATGATTACAGATTACATCCTAGCAGCTAGGCAGGAGCATCTGTCCACAATGTCAGGCAATGACTCTGGTGTTTGGTCTGGTGGCAGGGTTTAGATTGTGGGAAACCATCAACACAACTTGCCACAACCTTTGAAGAACAAGAAATTCCACACTGCCAGTTCTTAATTACTCTATCCAGTCACTTCTGAACCTAGCAAATCATCAGCACTTTTAGAGATGGAGCACCTCTTACCTCACCATCTTTGCCATCCCAAGGTTCAACTGAATGAATTTTAGGGAAAGTTCCACCACCCACTGGTGCTGTAGAGCCACGACCAACAGATAGTTCCCTGAGAACAAACAAGTTAAATTTAAGGAATTTCTTCTGTCTCCATCCATCTGGAACAATGCCGGCTTCAGATACAAGGAAGTCAACTTTGAGGTCACATCTCTTAAAGCAAACCTAAACTGTCCAAAAGCAAAAGCTTTTCAAATAGAGAAGCAGAAAATAAGAGCCCTTAAAGCAGCATTGCAAATTTACAGTTGGATCCAAAAAGACCAACTACATGAGCTATACTGTTTCCTATCTCAGCAGTGTAACAGTCATGGACAAATACATCCCTTTTAATAGTAGCGTGGTTTATCACTTAAGGTAACGCCAAGAGGAGTCTAATTCTAGTTTTGGAAGTCACCTGAAACTTGAAATAGGTACTGATTTTTTTTTTAGTGGAGACTAAGCCTTCACAGGTTACAACGGATATGAGGTTCTGCTTTGACACATTCTCATTTTGCATTTGCTAGTTAGGCTTTCTGAAAAAACCTAATGTTAAAATCCTGAAGAGCTAATTCCTCTGCATTCTTTCAGAGGTAAGCAAGACTGAATAAGCACTTCTCCCTAGGCGAAGTCTACAATTTTTATGCTCTTCTCAGTGCTGATTTCCTTACTTTTGGTCAACGCTGTTGAGACGGCCTATGAGATTACAAAAGCTGTGCATAGCAAGCTGAGTTAACAGCCAACTATGCCAACTGTGATTGTACTGCTTTCTCTAGGCAGCACAGCTGAGCTGAAGCATCAAGAGATTATTCTAGCAAGTATTGCTCTGTAGTTAGACAACACCGAACCAATTATCTAATGCAGTATCATCTGCTAATTTAGCTGTTGTGTCCTGGAAGCACCATCCACCCTCACCAGGAGAGACTTCAAGATGCATTTTATTGACTAAGAATTTGCCATGTCTGAGAAAGGCAGACACTTCTCACATGCATTTGCACGGACTGTCTGGTATTACTCTTCTTGTATCTGAATCCTAAATTTTATTTGATGCTCTAAGAATATTCCCCTTTTGGTATTAAGAAGAAAGCACAAGAGGCAGTTTTAGGGAACTTGAGCTGAGCTGAGCACTACTGGCTTTTTGGATGGATTGCTTCAGCACCCCCAATTAGTTTCTCAGATGCCAGGGGAATGGGAAGACAGGACTAGACCAAACCAGAAAGATGAACAACAACATAGAGAACCTCAACAGCACCCACTTAGATTCCCAAAGTGGAAACTTCCCAATTACCAATCAGAATGCACCACTTTAATTAAATAATACTGATTACCAAGTCCCATTAATTTCTTGGCTTATCAGAGAATCAGAAGTTTTCAAGATCAAAGCTCACTTTTTTTTTTTTGTTTTCACACTGCTTTGAAAAGTTGTGTTAAAACTACCATTTAAGTCTAAACGGCCAACTTAACTGTGTCCACCACAAAAAATTCATGACTGCTTTATTAGTTGCAATCCCCACTGAAATCATCCCCTTACTTCGGTGAAGGCTCATCATCTTAATTCTCTTAACTGCGCAAGTCTGATCTGATCCAGGAGACCCTGATTTTGCTCTAAAGAGTCACAGCCCCAGTTACAGAAAGATTTAAGTCACTTAAAGATTTCATACCTGAGAAACTCATTAATCCCTTGCTCACTGAATGATCCTTTCAGAAGGGCAAATTTCATCTTCCGAGCGTTAACAGCCGCCATTGCTGGATACCCAAAGCCTCCAATCCCCAAGGAGCTCTCAAGATCTGACTGAGCACCTGCTTCTGTCCACAGCCACCTTGAGGAAAAGACCAAACAGAAAATGAGTAACTAGGACAGCCATTACAATCATTTAAGTCACACATATCCTGCAACCCTGCAGAGTTCAAGCTGGGCTCTAAACAGCCCTTGACAGTGTCAACTATTACTGAAGTCAGCAGGGAATAGCAGGGTCCTGATTTTGAACCATGTAACAGAAGAAAGCCCCTCCAGGCCATCCCATGCTCACAGCCACTGAAGGACAGATCAGAAGAATAGCCACAAAAAAAAGAGTCCAGGAAGAGACCTATGTTACCAGTCTGAACAAATAAATTGCTACACTTTAGCCTGTATTAAGGAAGGTCTAAAATGCCTCAAGTCACGGATTTAAACATGACAAAGTACTGCCCAAATCCCACTGTAGAGAATTTCTTGCCGAAGACTGTAAGACCAGTATTTCACTCAGTTCCTTACTGGTCAGGTCTTTGTTCCTCTAATGCTTAGCAAGTCCCCTGAGGAACCTCTGGAATCAGGCCATCTCAGCATTTTCCCCCCAGGCTTTCATGCCTCTTCACAGCAGTCAGTGCGTCAGAACAACTCAAACTTCCCAGAAGTCCCAGAGATCCTAACCTCCACTTGAGAGGAGGAGGAAAAAAACAAAGCCTGCTGGCCTGCTTCTTTGAAAGCATGAAACTTGTTAATAATGGGAAAAAAAAAAAAAAAAGTAGTTTGAGAATTCAACAGTCAGTGGCAGACTTACTCACCAGCAAAAGACTCTAAGAGAAACAGGGTAAGTACTACCCTAAAATATTTTAGTATTCAGGACAACAGATGTTTAATCTGATCTCATTAATACTTAGATTTCACTTATAACTGCAGTATTTGAGAGGTTGATAAAAAGAAAAAATATTAGCAGTTTTAAAATAAAGCCGCAGAATCCCCTACTGAAGTACAGCTAGTGAAATACCAAGATATACTATCCTGAACAAGGAACTTGTATCTGCAGAGAAATTACTGTAATACAAATTCTATCCCATTACCTCTAAAAACACTCACATCATCTCCAAGACAGTCTACAATG